AGTGTAGCCTAATTCACAATGGCCTGCTGTCTATCTCCTTGGCTGTGGCCAGCAGTTTAAATGTAGCTGGGCATCTACGGCATCCAGCATAAGCGATGTTTCGCTCTTCTTATAACTGCCCGGGAGGGGGCAGAAGATCCTACAAACACAAACTTATGTGTGACTCTCCATATCAGAGACAATGGATCCCAAGGAACTACAACTACCCCCAGTAAGTCTCAAGCCAGAAGGAAAGGCTGATGGCTGGTGCCGGCAGTGGGGAGGGGGAGGGATTTGTCCCCTGGAAAGAGATTTCACACTATGGCTGAGAAGGTGATGATGGGCAAGGCCACACCTTGCCCAGGAATGCTTAGCTGTACACACCTCCTGCCATCTGTTTTACCTCACGTCAGGACCCTGAAGACCAACTCAGGGTGGTGTCACTAAGACCTCTTTATTTGTTGCTCTCTCCAATATGTCCTCTTTGAATAATCTCTATTTTCACTACTACTTGCCTCTTACCGGCATATTGGAGACAAATGACTAAGCCTAGGTAACCAGGACTGCCAGGGCCCAGGCTGGTCCCTAACAACTCCAGGGATGTTCTAGCTGTCTCCCAAGTCCATCCCTAAAGGAAGGAGCCCTGGGCTGCTGTGGCATGGCTGTCACTAGCCCAGTGTCAGACAGATAACAAGCAGCAGGAAGTGGCCATGGGAGCCCATTGTGAAGGCTGTATGGGGGTGGGGTGCTGCTTTTAAAAGGATTAGTAGATTACAAGGTGGTTAATGGCTCAGGAGATCATAGGTAGGGAGGAAACTACTAGTATTACCTTGCTAAGTGGACGCATCCAGCTGCCTTCTAAATATGCTCCTCTCACACTTAGTCAGAGAAGGGTACGAAGCAGTGCAGGCTCTGAACTGGACAAAGTGTTGGGAATACTGACTGTGGAGTGCTCTGCCCTAAATGGACATCTACAGGAAGCCCCCTCTGGTTAGGCTCAGGGAACATGGGGTGGGTGTGTGTGGGGGGGGGGGGTCAGGAGGAATGTAAGAACGCTATCAGAGCCAGTGGATGGAGAGAAGAGCTGCGAAACACTGTGTTCGCGTTATGACTGTTGCACTCATGAACTCGCTGTAGCTTTGGTTGCCTGGACAAGACCCACACAAGGTCAAGCCATTCGGCATCCCAGCAGGCAGCACTAATTGGACTCAGTGTGGGTCACTAAATAAAACAAAAGGAGAGGACACAAAGTCGGGAGGGTGGTGTGGACTGGGAGTAGGGAGGGTGGAGATGGGGGAGACGGCATCACCGTGTAAATACATCATATGTGTAAACACACTAAACTGTCAGATGCTCCAAAATGAGCAAGTTGGTTAGAGCAAAAGTTGCGGTTCCATAACTCAATTCAAGTGGGTGTACTAAGGCAATGATGGAGGGAAAATAGAAAGAGAGGCACTTCCTGAATCCACGGGTTCCCGTCTGTGCCGAGGGATGGAGTGATGCTGACTTTAGGTCCTCTGGGTGTCTGTATCAGTTCTGATGCCAAGCCCAGAAATACGCCCAGCTCTTCCAATAAAGGCTGGAAATGCAATAGATGTCGCCCACTTGTGTGTTGACTGAGTTTACAGAGCAAGTCAAACAAAGAGGGTTTTCTCATTTTGCCAACTGCACGAGAAACCTGGTGCGTGATATGGAGGTAACGGGTCTCAGAGTTCAACAAAACAGGGAAGTTATAAGACAGTAAGAAAGGAAAGGGGGGAAACGCTAGACTAACAAACAGACCCACATGGCTGTATTGCCCCCTATTTTATTTCCTCTTTGTGAGCATGTGTGTGTGTGTGTGTGTGTGTGTGTGTGTGTGTGTGTGTGTGTGTGTGTGTGTGTCTATATGCAGGTGCCCACTGGGGACAGAAGGCATGGGATCCCCTGAAGCTAAAGTTAATGGCTCCCATAAGCCTGACATGGGTGGTGGGAACCAAACTCAGGACCTCTACAAGAGCACCAAGCATTTTAACTGCCACGTCATCTCTCGACTCTTGTCCTGAATTTGAATGCTACTGCAAGGTAAGTAACTGGCTTTGGGAATGGCCTCAATTAATTTGTCACGACTGTCTCCGTGTACCAGCTCCTAACACAAATGCAAAGCAACATCCCACATGGAGACCTGGGATCAAGAACAAGTGTGCTTCTCTCTCCCTCTCTCTCTCTCTCTCTCTCTCTCTCTCTCTCTCTCTCTCTCTCTCTCTCTCTCTCTCACACACACACACACACACACACAGAACATAAAGTGCATTCCTTGGCTCTCCTTAGACATTCCACAATGCACATGCTTACCAAAGCATCCTGTTATACACCACACATATGTACAATCTTTGTCAGTTAAAAAGGGAAAGGGACTGAGGAGATGGTTCAGTTGGTAACACGCTTGCCGCACACATGTGTGTATGTGGATATGACTTCTAATCCACAGCATATTAAAAACAAAACCCGGCAGTGGTGGTAGGTAGACACCTGTAATCCCGGTGCTGAGGACAGGAGACAGAAATGGGAGGATCCCTGGGGCTCACTGTCCAGAAAGTCTACCCTAATTGGTAAGTTACAGATTTAGTGAGACCCTGTTTAAAAAGCCAACAGCCATGAAGAAAGACATATGGCTTTCAAATGCACGCATAATCCGCAAACAAAACAAAACAAAGCAGAACAAAAAAATCAACCAACCAGGTACCAAGGGAAGAATTCGGTTTTTACATGACTAGAAATCATGCCAGATGCTTTATCATAAATTAGACTGCTGGCTTGACTCTAACTCTTAAACACAATAGTATTTGAATGTCCTCAACACAACATTTGAATGTGCTCAAATAAGGATAAAACAAAATACAAATATGTCCCCTTATGCTTCCTGAGTGTCTTCTGCCAGCTAGGCCCTCTCTACGGCCACTCTGGTGTGAACCTGGGCATCCCCACACCATCCTGATGGTAGAGAGATGTCTTTAAAAATCAAATAAGCAAGCATCCAACTGGAAGAGCTTGAGGAAACACGTTTAGGCTGCGTCACAGAGATTAAGAAGTGGCCGAAGAGCAAATGTGACTGACACTCCCGGGTTGTGGCCTTTCAGGGCTGATCATCCCTTCTTCTTCATGCTAGGCATGTGGTACGGCAAAATGGGTCCTATCGAGAGTCAATTCTAGCGGTTCATTATGTGTGATAAAGGGGTGGGGAAGCAGGGAGAGATGAACGATGATACTCAGCTCGCTTTCATCTGTCTACTCGGTCGGGGACGCCAGCCCAAGGGACCTTGTCTAAGTTAGATCCTCCCTTCTGAGCCCAGTCAATGAACCTAGAGGCACCTCTCCTAGGTGATCCTAGAGCCTGCCAAGCTGACCATCAGTGTTAACTTCCAGCTGTCTCTCCCGCTTTGTGGCTAATTAGACCCATCCTTTCTTCCTCTCCCATCTGAATCTCTCTCTTTGCTTCTTTTTCCCATTAAACTCTTACGATGAAGAATGTCTGGCACAGTGGCAAAGGCAATGAGCTCTCAGCCTTTGCTGACAGCCAGTGACTACAACAGAGGTCAGTACTCACTCAGGGGACTGAATCAGCTAGAGATCAAGAGACTGATTGACATACATCTAAGGCTACTAGAGCCTGCACAGACCTCAGGGAGAGAATAAGTACGAGCTTATGAGACCAAGGTCTCTATACAGACCCGCTTGCCCCTTGGGATATCTTCCCCAGACCAATACTTCCCTCTCTCTTAGGCAGTGCCTTTAGGGTAGTCATTTCAAAGGAAAGGAACCTATCACAAACCATTCATTCCCGTGTCTTTTAGCTCGCTGAACTACTTCCCACATCTTCCCAATTTTGGCTGGAGAAGAGCCTGGGCAATCCAAGCAGAATCCGACATCTTTCATGTCCTCAGCCCTCCCCAACCTGCAAACCTGAAGCTAGTCCTGCTTGTCAATCACGGCCCTTGTCTGGCCTCCGACTTCTTCCATCCCAGGGAAGGGATTTGCAGAGGGAACTTTTTGAAATTAAACTGAAGAACCTTTCCCTCGGGGAAGGAGAGGTACTTCTAATTGAGTTCTTACTAGGGCGAAAGTCACCCACAACCTTAATCTCCCTGCAGGAGGAAATAAGAAGGCTGCAAAGCCAGGAATCGGGAACAGGCTCAAACAAATGCTGCAAAATCAGCTTCTGAGCAGCTCAGGAGGAACATCCGGGCTAGACTGTGCTTCTAATCTCTAGGAGCCATTTTAGTGTTATTAGTGCTGGGTTCTCCTGATTTCTGGGGAACAACTTAGTTCATGGTTGAAAAGGTTTCACCGTACCCCAGTTGTAGGTCTTCAAGCATCTCTGTGGCCTTAGGATCAAGGCCAGTGCTGGGAGAAGAAGGGCTGTGACTCGTGTGTTAGCTACTTTTCTTCGTAACTAAATGCCTTACAAAAGCAACTTATTGAAGGAAGAGTCTGTCTGGGCTCTGAGTTTGAGGGTCTGTTTTCTCAGTCTGGGCCCACTCTGCTAGATGGGTCCGGAGATATCTGATGATTTGTGCCCAAAGTCCAAGCTGGCAAGATGGCTTGGGGTAAAGGTGCCTGCCAGCAAACTTGATGACTGAGTCCCAGCCTTGGGATCCTCATGGGGAAGAGGAAGACTCCATAAGTTAGTTGTCCCTTGTCCTCTACTTATATGTCATGGCACACACGTATGAGCACAAACTAAAGAAATGTTTTTGGTTTTTTTTTTTTTTTTTTAGGACAAAGGAGAACAAAACAAACAGAAAAGTGATGCTGGTTGAAACGCTTACATTCTGTGTATTTTACTGAGATAGGAAACCGGAAGCAAATGAAACTAACAGCCAATCCAGAAAGCTCTTCCGTTAAGGGAAAGAGATATCCATGAGAGCCTGGGGAGGATGATGAAGGCAATCACAGGTCCTTATCTCTTTCAGCTTTTCTAACTCCAGGCTTGGTTACAAAGGAGCCTCAGCATGGATGTGCGCATCCTCATAGAGACTCACCTCACTGAGGTAAATAAAAAAGGAGCAGGAGGTGCCGTCCACTCCATAGTCTGCGTAGCAGGGATCCGAACGCCACATGTCTTTCATCCACTGGAAGGAGAGGAGAGGACACAGCGGAGGAGGGGGTGAGGGGACAAAGGGGATCGTGGGGTGGGTGGTTCAAGCGGTGGGAAGGACAGAGTGGACACCTGAAATGGCCCAGGTTCTCAGTGTGACTAGGGAGAGCCTCTGCTGATCCACTCCATGGCAGGGGCAGAGCAGAGAAGGGCCATCCACCAGCAGTATGGGAACACCTGGGAAGTATATGCTTCAAGACTCAACTGTCCACTTGTATCGTTGGAAAGGGAAAAAGGTGGAGGGTGATGGGATGAATAGGGGTAGCTTCTGCCTTACCTTGATTTTCCCCTCACAGTGGGGGTAGCCATCCATAGGAGGCAATACACATTTTTCTTGAACTCCATTAATGATATCTGTAAAGAATAAGAAACAAAGGAAACCATGAGTTTCATGTTACAGGTGCCCAACATAAAACACGGCCTGCATAGGCTGAGAGAGAAACTGAGATAGAGAAGTCTTCATAGAGGAAAGGTTCTGTCTGATCCATGGAGCAAACCCCCGCCCCCCCAAGCTCCAGACATGACAGCTGCCCTAGCAGGATTCTGTTGCTGGGGGACTGGGGCTGCCATCAACAAGAAGGTTCCATGGGACCTTAATCGTTTTGAAAAAGAAAGGTAAGGCAGCATCTTTATCCTCTCTTTCTCCCCCCTCAGACCCCGTGTGTGCCTGTCTTCATGTATATGGGGGCACGCGTGTTAATGCATGTGAGGCCAGCGGACGATTTCAGGTGGCGTTCTTCATGAATGTAATGCGCTGCAGTTTTTGTCTTATTGTTTTGAGACACGGTCTCTCACTGACATAGAACTCATCACGTAGGCTAGGCTAGCCGGCCAGCAAGTCCCAGGGTCCTTCCTGCCTCTACCTCCCCAGTGCTGGGATTATAAGCAGGTGCCCGTATACCTGGCTTCCTACCACAGTGGAGATTGAACAGACCGTTGTAAGCCCTTTACCATGGTCTTCTCTCCTGACTCTGCAAAGGTCCCTTTTAAGAACCCAATGACCTTGACTTTTTACTTAGAACCAGATGGCATCCGATAGGTTAAAGGTACCTGGTTCCCTTCCCATCACGGTTTTAAAGGAGCATTGGAAGATCAGACAAAAATGGGCTTCTAGAACTCCTCCAAACGTAGGAACTATGGCCACTCATCCTCCCGCTGGCAAGTGAGCCAGCATTCCCTGTCTAACCCTGCTGCCAACAGCATGGATAAGCATCTTCAGGAGGGAAGGCAACACTTTGCAGCTGACACCTCTCACATACTTCCTCCCAAAAGATACACGGTCTCCAGCACCTGCTTTGGGTACACAATAAGGGAGTGTTTCTCCTTGTACACCTGATAGGAGCACACGGCCACCTTATCTGATGGCCCCTGCAGAACGCACACACATGAGTTTCTCCATTGTCCCAGGGCTTGGCACCGGCCAGCAGCCAGATATCTCTACATCTGGCCTGGAAATGCAGCTCTAGCCAACACCTTCATTGCCAGCTTGGGTTTAAGAACCAATAGTAATGAATCAGAGGGATTCATGGGGGGGGGGATCTCCCATTAGCAAGGACCTCATGCAACTCATTCTCTGCTTGGCAAATCCTCGGGCAGGCCTTCTTCACATCATGAGAAAAGTGAATTTCTACAGCTGAGGCCTGGACAGGTGTTTGAGTAACTTTTCCGCTGCTGTGGTAAAACACCCCGACCAAAGGCAACTTGGAGAGAAAAGGGTTTGTTTGGCTCACAGTCCACCAATCGAGGGAAGCCAAGGCAGGAACTCAAGCAGGGCAGGGATGTGGAGGGAGAGGCTGAAACAGAACCAGGAGTCAACACTGTTTACTGGCTTGCTGTTCCTTCCTTCCTTCCTTCCTTCCTTCCTTCCTTCCTTCCTTCCTTCCTTCCTTTGTTTTGTCCAGACAGGGTTTCTCTGTAGCATTGGGGCCTGTCCTGGAACTCGCTGTGTAGCCCAGGCTGGTCTTGAACTCACAGAGATCCGCCTGCCTCTGCCTCCCCAGTGTTGGGATCAAAGGTGTGCACCACCACTACCTTCCTCGGGACACATTCCCAGGCTTGGCACTCCCCGAATCCATCATTAGTTAAGACAACACCCCATAGGCTTTCCAACAAGCCAATCGTTTGGAGGCTTTTCTCAATTCCCTCCTTCCAGATACACTGAGGTTTGTGTTAAGTGGAAAAGCACCGATCAGCACACCACGTGTTCTAAGCAGAAGATCTTAAGGTCACAGGAAGCTCCCTATCCCACAAGGGACTGGAGTAGCCAAGGCTCACAGGAGATCTACTTGCAGCCTCACAGGGGACACACAGGTTGAGTGTCCCCTGTTTGAAATGTTTGGAATACTCTGCTTTAGTCTTCACATGTGCACAGACTCGGCGTTAGCTTGTGCATTCTCAACAGAATATTCAAAATCCCAAATGTTCCCAAATTGGAGCTTTCATTTAGAAATAATTTTATTTTTCTAATTTATTTAGGCTCTCATTCATGTGGAGATTACATGCTGGGTGCACGCCCCCTTGTGCCCAATCACCCCACACACACACTTTTCTTCCGCTCCTGTTTCTCGTTTGTCAAAGACAGTTTTATTTCTTTCATATCTCCTATGTACACACATACACATGCGACTTTCTGGATCTGGATGAGATCTCAACCCACAAATGAGAGAAAGCATGGCATATTTGTAAGACCAGCCCAGTTCTCCTAATATGACTCTTTCAGATTGCATTCCTTTTCATAACATGCCATCAACTTTTATGGCACTTTGAAAAGCACGTTTTGTATTTCATTGTTTTTATAGGTTTTAGCTGAAAGAGCTGGAAGCATCCTCAGCATCGTTTTGTTTGTTTTTGTTTTTTTTTTTTTTTTTCAGGAGCCTCCTTAAAAGCATATTTGCTGACCCTCTACTTTTTCCTAATTGGCAAAACTGGACCCTGGAGAGATGAAAAAGTTGCCCAGTTCAGTAAGGAAACAAAACCCAAACTCATTAAGCCATGAGTCTACACCACAGGGATTTTCCCTTTTGGGTATGTACATGTGTTTGAGTGTGAATGTGTACATGACAAACTTGCCACATGGAGGTCAGAGGACAACCTCAGGTGACAGTATTCATCTTCCATCCTGTTTGAGACAGGATCTCTTATTTGCCGCTGCGTGTAGCCAGACTAGCTAGCTGTTCCCTGGGATCCCCATCTCCATCCCGAATCTTGCTGTAGGAACACAGGCGGTGTAGACATTCACGTCTGTGCCCAGCTTAACACGGGTTCCGGGGAGTGACCTCCGTTCCTCATGACAGTGCGGTAAGTGCTTTGTTCACTGAGCCATCTCTCCAGCCCAGGTTTTCCTTTTAGGTCAGATTATTTCTGCCCTGCTGTGTCTAGGTACTCACAGGCACACCACTATAACTGCTTCATTCTTGCTCCATATGGGAAATGTTAGCAGTGAGTGTGGAGGAGTAAACTGACAAAGTATTATTCTGCTTGGACAGGCTCCTTCGCTGGTCTCCCGGTAAGAACCCGAAGCTACAGTGTGAAAATACTAGGGAAACAAACTGAAAATTACATGACAACACATTGCCCAACAGGGGGCTGGAGAGCTGGCTCAGCATGTAGAGCAAAGGTTGCATAAGAGTTCAGATCCCCAGCACCCATGTTGGTCCCAGGCAGGTGTGATGGCCTGCCTCTAATGCCAGTCCTATGAAGGTGGAGACGGGATTCTCCGAGCATTCTCTAGCTAGAGTAGAGGCTCTGCTTCAAACCACAAGATGGAAAGCAATCATCGAAGACATGTAGCATCAACCTCTTGCCTCCACAGGCATCCACATATGCATCCAGACACATGTGTATGGTGACACACATGGGAACACACATATACACATGCACACATAGGACACATACCTGCATAAACAAACAAAATTTCCAAAAACAATTTAGCCAAACCATCACATGCTATTTATACTTCCTTTTGTCATGAACCCTGTTCGTATAAGATTATTTATTGGCCTAATTATGCTTCTAAGTATTAGTAAGCTGTTAAATCAGGTAAGGGACACTACACTGCAGCAGAGGGACAGGCCAGGGACACGGAAGACAGCCTGACGTGTGTTCCAGAATCAGAGTGATTTACCAGAATGAGCCAGGCCCTAATGAGTGAAGGCAGTCGGGTAACCCTCTACGTCTAAGAGAGTGGAGAGGGAAGATAATTAAAGATAGCCCTCACAAGGGAAGAACTATCATTGGACAGCTGAGCAGGCACTGCAAGCTAAAGGATCATGAACTTCAGGCTCAGAACCCAATGCATCGATTACCACTGCAGCCAATGGGAAAGTTGCATAAAATTGTGTAGTTTGCAGAAGCAACCAACTTTCATTGAATAGAAAAACATACATGAAATATGACCATTTCATTTGGGGCGTTAAAAGATAAAAACACGTTAAGGATAAAAACATGCTGTACTCTAAAAGAAAACTACCACGAAAGAGCTTCACAGTTGAACAGAATTGTATATCTAACATAAATTGTCCAGGAGTCGAAATTCATCTTATACTGGTAGCTCGGCTGGTAGAGTGCTTGCCTAGCACACACACAGCTCTGGGTCCCATCCACAGCACCACATGAAGCAGGTGTGTCTACACACCTACAGTCCTAGTACGAGGGAGAGGAAGGAAAGGATCAGAAGCTCAGAGTTATCCTTAGCTACACAGTGAGTTCCTTCCAGCTTAGCAGTTACAAGAGATGGAGCCCAGCCTGGTGAGGAAGAAACAATGTCTCAGGAACTGGGCTGGCTGGTTCACACAGCATCCTCAGACAGGAGTAGAGAGAAAACAGGAAGTGGGGCCAGGCTCTTAAACCCTCAAGGCTCTCCCCTAGCAAACCTAATGACATACTTCTGCCAGCAAGTCTTCACTGCAAAAGGTTTTGCAGCCTTCCCTAACAGCACCGCCAGCCAGTAAATCACACGATTAACTACTGAAACACAGATTATGAGAGGCAACTCCCATTCAAGCCACAAGCGTGGCCTATGCACCAAACCCTCAAGAGTCTCTTTCCTCACTCAGGAATTGTTGCAAAACTTTCTAAGGACTCAGCCACCCTTCCTGGGCCAGGCACTGAGACCTGCGATCACACAAGATCTCATTCGACATCAGGGTGACCGTGACAGTAATCCCTGGGATGCTCAACGTGAAACACAGCAGAGGTATCACCCCATCTACACTATTGTTGCATTTTATTCTCTATAGAATGGATGTTCACTGTGCCTGTCTTACCCCGCCCTGACCCCCGCCCCCCACCCTACCCCCAATCAGTTTTATGTCATGGTGCCTGTGGGTGGAAGGTAAGGGACTCTGAGATTACAA